GGTTACAGATCATGGGTTAGAGAACCACTGGAAAACCTAGAAGAACTGAACAGCTATTTCGTCCTAGTTTGGGACTCTTCAACAATATGCATTCAGGCGCAAGTGTTTGAATCCAGGACCTTCTGGTCACAAGGCGAGCTCGTAGACCATTAAGCTATTAGGACCCGATTCAATGGCCCATGAATTACAACTTCTGGCCAATGTCACCGGTAGCGAGTATTTGTTCCTACACCCGACCTGCTCTACCCTATTTGTAATGGCTTCCCACTAGATCCCCAGGTGACTACCTATTTGAATAATACTAGACACTAGTCAGCATCTCATTGTTATTCAAATATTGGTTTGTATGGACTTGATTGATTCGTTACAGCATTTCACCATGAGCTGACATTAGTTAGAGAACCACCGGACACCTGGGAGAATCAGAGAGCTGTTTCGTTCTAGTTTGAGACTCTTCACCAGTACGCACCCACCGGGATTTGAACCCAGGACCTTCTGGTTTACAAGGCTAGCTCGTATACCATTAAGCCACTGGGACCAAATCCAATGGTCCATGAATTCTAACTTCTGCCAATTCACGACATAGCGCGACCTCTAGCCAATGTCTTCGGCAAGTATTTGTCCTCACACCCGACCTGGTGCACCCTCCTGGTCACGACTTCTCACTAGAACCCCAGTTAACTACGTACCTGAGTAGGGTAAGTCGCCAGTGAGCATCTCGTTGATATTCAAGTGTTAGTTTGTAGGGATTTGATTGGTTACAGGATTTCATCATGAGCTGACATTAGTTAGAGAACCATTGAGAAACCTGGGAGTATTGGAGAGCTGTTTCGTCCTAGTTTGGGACTCTTCATCAGTACGCACCCACCGGGATTCGAAACCCAGGATCTTTTGATTACAAGGCGAGCTCGTACACCATTAAGCCACTGGTATACGACCTCGCCAAATGAATAGGTTCTTGTTTTTCACAGTGATCTCGTCAGACGAATTTTAAGTACTTTTCTCACAGTATCACCTCTGTATACCAAGTTTAGCTACCCTGTCAATCCCTGTATTTCTTCCGCATAATGTACTACTGGATTCTGTGAAGCGTAGTAGATACCCGACACTGTCCGAGTTGGGAGAAAACTAATATATACGCAGGTGTATCATTAATATTCATTATTTATTTCACACACTAGCATAATCATTGATTTCACGCATCTGCGTGATTATTGATTTAAATTACTGAATTCCCAAGGTCGTTAATATTTTTAAAATGTGACATTGATTTTTCTAATTGTATAAATACGGAGTTGTTAGTTAACATTTTCGACTGTTGTTTGAGACAGTAAAAGCTCTCATATCAACGTCCAGTCTTCTCTCTTATTTGTCTTGCGTGCCCGGCGGTATTATTGTTGTTGTTGTTGACGTGCGATTAAGACAGATTAGCCAGCGCATTAGTTAGATTCGCTCGTAGTCTACAAGGTCCTCATATTCACATACATAACAAATTTGGCGACGGGTTTGCTGAAGATGGACCCACTGCGTTTAGAGAAACTAATGGAACAGCAGCTAAAATTGATGGAAATGCTTGCTGGTCTACAAATATCACGCTCTGCAGATTCATCTACAGCCAACGACAGCATTGGTAGCAGCATCTCAGAATTTGTTTATGATCCAGATGCGAACGTAACATTTGATACCTGGTTTCGCAGATATGAAGACCTATTTCGAGTAGACTTTGCGGATAAAGATGATGCCTGGAAAGTACGGCTTCTACTTCGTAAATTGGGAGCAGATGAGCTAGATAAATACTGCAACTTAATTCTGCCCCAGAAGCCCAGTGAAAGATCATTCGATGAAACTGTCCATACCCTTCGTCATCAGTTTGGTGATCAGAGATCGTTATTCAACATTCGATATCATTGCATGAAACTAGTTTTGAACGAAAATGATGATATCCATACCCAGTTGGGTATAGTCAATCGCACGTGTGAACGTTTTAAATTAAAATCACTCTCAGAAGACCAGTTCAAGGTATTGATTTTCATCTGTGGTTTGCAGTCTCCCAAATTTGCTGATATACGCACACGTCTATTAAATCGTCTGGAACAAGATCCACGAATGACTTTGAAAGACGTCGGTGAAGAATATCCGCGTTTAATCAACATCCACAACGATACCGTCTTGGTGCAGTCTGGCAGCCAAAATGCAGCAGAAGTGCATGCGGTGCATCCAGTACCGTCGACATCAACCGCACCGCGTCATCCTCAGCATAAACCACCATCAGCCTGCTGGCACTGTGGCTCCTGGCATTTCGCAAAATTGTGCCCATTCAAACAGCATAAATGCCGTCGATGCCTTACTGTTGGTCACAAAGATGGCTACTGCAAACGCAACAACCGACCCAGATCTCGTAGTCGACCCAGACGGCGCAACAAGCTCAAGTCTTTGGGTGTTACTGCCACATATCATATTAGTACTCCAGCACCTCGCAAATATATCGATCTGACGATTAATACACAGCCGGCACGCCTACAAATTGACACAGCATCCGATATCACAATAATATCAAAGAGATTATGGCAGAAGTTGGGATGCCCTGCCATAGAGAAGACAAATCAGATAGCAATTAGTGCATGTGGTGGAAGACTTCGATTGAATGGAGAAATTAAATGCAGCGTTGGTTTTCGCGATAGTCATTTCGTCGGCACATGCTACATCAACAATTCAAACCTTGACCTCTTGGGTTTAGACTGGTTCGAGAAGCTGCACCTGTCAGAGATTCCGTTAAGCAGTGTATGCCAAAAGATCGAAAGTATTGAACCCTCAACAAGAAAGCCAGAAATCAGAGACAGATATATTAAACCTAAGCCCATTAGAAAGAATGACGTGATTAATGAAAAACCAACTTCAAATCGTCATAGTGAGCATGGCTGCGCCAAAAGTGCTTCGATGTCTGGTAGCAACAAAGTAGCAACTGTTAGCTCCAGTAAGAGAGGCTCTGCTCAAAAACTGAAAGTGATGTCTGTCATGGCAGCCAAAGATCCGCCGCGGGAGCCACCGAGAGCATGGCCCACGTCAAAACCATGGTCCCGCCTACATGTGGATTTTGCTGGGCCGATAGAAGGTATATACTACTTGGTTCTCGTGGACTCTTACTCAAAGTGGCTGGAGGTAGTACAAGTGACACCACCTTCTAGCAGCAGAACAGTATCAGTCCTGGAAAAGATCTTCGCATGTCACGGTATACCGGAAATCATCGTATCTGACAATGGCAGTCAGTTCACCTCACAAGCGTTCCAGGAATTTTGCAGGAGAAACGGTATACAACACGTGCGGACGCCACCTTATCACCCTCAATCCAACGGTCAGGCAGAAAGATTTGTCGACACCTTCAAACGAGCCTTGTTGAAAGCAGGGGGAGGGGCGAAACCGGAAGCAATACAAAACTTTCTTTTTGTATACCGAACTACACCACTGACAGAACAGAAGAAAAGCCCTGCAGAACTTCTAATGGGTCGAATGCTACGAACTCATCACCACTCCATGTTACCATCTTCGTCACATAAACGAAGAAATAGTCTGAAGTATTACCGCAAGGGTGATGCCGTCTATGTGCGCGATTATCGACCGAGGAACAGAAAATGGGCAGAAGGCTTGATAGAATGTCGACATGGAACTGTAATGTACAAGGTTAAAGTTGGGGATGAATGGTGGATTAGACATAAAAATCAGATACGACGTCGACATACTACATCCCAAGAACCTAAATTGCCACTGGAATTACTACTGGAAACCTTCAAAATACCACCAGTCAAATCAGAAGCAAAACAAGAGATGCTACCCAGCCGACGATCCCAGCGCAAACGAACACAAACAGTTCATATCCAAATCGACCCCAAAGAAAAAAGATACTAAACTGTTTGCAAGATTCTTTTTAAAAGGGGGAGGTAATATATACGCAGGTGTATCATTAATATTCATTATTTATTTCACACACTAGCATAATCATTGATTTCACGCATCTGCGTGATTATTGATTTAAATTACTGAATTCCCAAGGTCGTTAATATTTTTAAAATGTGACATTGATTTTTCTAATTGTATAAATACGGAGTTGTTATTTAACATTTTCGACTGTTGTTTGAGACAGTAAAAGCTCTCATATCAACGTCCAGTCTTCTCTCTTATTTGTCTTGCGTGCCCGGCGGTATTATTGTTGTTGTTGTTGACGTGCGATTAAGACAGATTAGCCAGCGCATTAGTTAGATTCGCTCGTAGTCTACAAGGTCCTCATATTCACATACATAACAAAAACGAATTAAGCTCCGTTTTCTGTCTATGAGGACAAAACTGTCAAATCAGTCAGTTGTCCTATCCACGTCGATTTTCTGTAGATAGATCACAAACTAGGACGGAAGAGCTGTCCAGTACTCTCAGGTGGTTTTCCAATGGTTCTCTAACCGATGTCAGGTCATGATGAAATCCTGTAACCAATCAATCAAATCCCTACAAACTAATACCTGAATATTATTGCCTTAGGTATCAGGTGAAACTCAAGCCTTCAACAGGCCATCTCCACTCCACTCCACACTCCTCTCAGTGGTCTGTTTATTTAGCTGGCTACAGGAATTACGATAATCTTCCATTTTCTTCTCATATGATCTCATTCACATCACTTTCGAACCCCATGTCAAACCCATTGTTCCTCAAATGAGTTCCAGTGGAGGTTCCAGCGTGTAACCGTCTCGTCAGTGAACGTCTGATGTTTGAAATTCACCTGAAATCAAGACTTTTATCCATGAACTATATAAGTTACCAATGGATATCAATTGAAAGAAGCTTAGAAACGCTAGGTATCTTCATTGGTGCACAACACATAAACTCAACATATAACATTTTATCTCTCTGAACCTCTGTATTCTGATTGGTTACATTTAATCGACCAATGAAAACTTACTTTGGAAATAATTGTACAATAATACACTATTACTAACATATAAAATTCACTAGAATCTTTGTGGATCTTTTACTACTGAAAATGCAGTCAACTTTCATGCAGCAGAACACAGACGTATACTATTAGTGATAAACTGTTGTCAGAAGAAATAAAAACGGGTATATCACATTTCCTTTTCACTAACAGCCAACGAATATTTTCACGCATCACATATTACACACCCTTGAGTAATTTGATTAATAAACAACACATCCACCGTATTTCTTGTCATTGACTCCGTACAAATGAGTAATATGTTGTGTCCACATAAAAGGAAAATACATATGACTACAATTTATTTTATTTATTTATTCATAAATATTGGATTGTGCTCTCCGGTGAGTTGTAATGACTAGATACGCGTTTTTCATTATTACTATCTTACTACTTATATGGGGATTTCAGTAAAATAGTTACATGCTAATAAAGGTTTCTTTGTATTTCCCAATGAATGATAAACAAAGGGATGCTGTTGTTGTTTCTACTGACGTTTCGCTATTTAATGCTGCTACTGATAGCTTTATCAGAGTAGTAATATTAAACAAGAATTTACAAAATTCACTCAGTTTATATATAACAACTTTATCATCATCGTTCATCAGCATGGGGGCATTTTTGCGTTGTCAAATTGGTCTATTGGTAAAAATACCAAAACCAGGTGTAGATTATTGGATTTGATAAGTGCGTGTGTTTACATACTGAAATTGCTTATCACATCCATGTTGATTTTGTCACTTCATGGAGGAGGCGACTGTGTGTTGTAACTAGGTCAAATTCTGTTTCAGTCCATCATTCCTATTCAGACAATTTGGATTCCATTTGATGATATGAAGTGCTTCTGATATAAGACGTCCTCTGTGAGTTCTGGAATACTTTTTCTGGATGATGATTTGAATATTGTCAAAGTCAGTTTTGTGGCCTGATTCTATTGCGTAGCGTGTAGACGACCTATGGCTGATGATTCTTCAAGCTTTTCTAGTTCTCTAACTGGATTTCTCGGTGGTCGAGCAGATGCCCTACGGTGTTCATTTCTTCTGATTTTCATTCCTCTCTGGCGATGTTTGTCCGATGTATATCGCACCACAATACAATCATTTTATTTTATAGACACATTAGATAGAGAATCTCCAGGGATTTGGTCTTTTATATGGACAAGGTTGTTTCCTAGTGTGTCTGATGTTTTGAAGAATACTCTTATGTGGAGCTTATTGGGTACTCTTCCGATATCGTTTGACATCTACTGGCAGGATCCTTTAACCGACAAAGCCAGTTTCTAATTGAGTTTTTGAGCAGTTTGAATGCCACTTCTATTCCTTTATACATTATTATTTTATAAATAGTAGGTCAAGTGTTGTCTAAAAGGTTAAAATTATGATGACGACAACAATAAAGACGGTGCAGCTGAGGTAAAGTGTGGAATGAATTCAAATGGCAAGGTGGAATGCAAGCATATCTTCCAGTTTGTGAGAAATCAGATCCTCCAAGTTTTGTGTGGGTTCATATTATGCCTGTTCCCTCGATGCCCGCTATTTGTCGCATTATCCAGTTTACCGTTTTCAATCAGGAAAATCATTGTTGATAGTAGGCAGCCTTGTCTTGCTCCCATCTTTACTTCGAAGGATTCCGTAAGTTTCCCGTTGTGGATTACTTGGCATGCAGCATTGTCATACAGCTGTTGGATGAGATTTATAATTGTTGGTGGCATCCCTTGGTAGTAGCGAAGTAGTTTCCAAATCACCCCTCGATCGACGCTGTTTGCTGAAGGAATTTTCAAAGTCGATGAAGTTGAGATAGAGAGGTGACTGCCATTCCAAGCTCTGTTTACTGATGATCAATGCATGACTTATTGCTCCTGAATTCAGCCTGTTCCGGTTGAAGATTTTCATCCATGGCGTGTTTGATTCACTCTAGGATGATGTGGCTTAGTATTTTGCTCGGGATGGACAGGAACATAATTCCGCGCCAGTTCTTTTACTGACTTAAGTCTCCTTTCTTTGGCAGTTTGAATAAGTAGCTTTTCTTCCAATCAGCAGGTACCTTGCCATCTTTCCACACCTTCTCCACTAGTGGTGTTATCAAGTCCATTACTGTTATTACTTCAACTATTTTATTATCCTTCTGAAAGTTTCACTAAGTAAGCTACAGATATTTCACTGTAAATTACCCGAATTTTGACTTAACATCGAAATATTTTTAGTGAATTAGTTAATGAATTACTGTGAACTTGTCTGTGTAGGTCATTTTGTCGATAAATATTCTTACCAAGTGAATAAATTTGATTAGTAATCAGACATTTGTATTCATACATGGTTAAATTTTCACTGTCTCGTTATAATAAAATGTATATATTTGTCTATACACGTAAACGTGCACCATTTATTTCATAAAAAACGCAATAATTCACAAGTGATAGGTAATTATGGTCATTGTTCTGAGGCTGAAATATACAATGACGAATAATTTTCAAAAATTAGTCTGTATTGATTTGATCTACTTCAAGTTTTATTGTGGATTTATGTCAGTTAGAGAACCATTGGAAAATCAGTAGGAAGTACTGGGCAGCCAACTGTTTCGTTCTAGTTGGGGACTCTTCAGTAGTACGCATCCACCCACTCCCCTACCAATGACTATCAGGTCAAGAGTTTTAAGCTTGTTGACACTCTAGCCACCTGGATGGGAATCAAATGTCCCATGAATTCCTACTTCCGTTTCTTCACGATTTTAAAGCGACTGCCAGTCATTGTTATCGGCACGTATTTGCCCTCACATTCGACCTAGTAAGACCCATTGGTCATGACTTCTCAATAGGGCTTCAGGGGACTTCCTCCTATAGCCAGGTATCAAAGTGCCTCAGACCAATCTTTATCTGTAGTTTTGTTTCATTAGAGTGTACTGGATAGCTGATGCGTTTATTCCTTCCCTCTTATTTGACGCATCCGAAATAGTCAAAATATACAAGGCGTCCTTGTTAAATCTTTTTTTAAGACAGCTGAAATCGCTACCTAGTATTTTGACACTGTGAAAGACAATTTGAAGTCAACTTTCTATAGCCTGAATTCCTATAGTTCAGGTTATTCCCAGATTCTATAGTTCTGTTTCATTCCTTTGAGGAGGTTTCGTGCACAGTAAGTCGTTACACATTAACTCACTTTGACCATCATTTGTCTACTGTTTCTCTGTATGTCGCAAACTTCACATTCAGAAGATTTTATCCCATAAACACAGTTGTTATTCTGTTATTTTTAAAGACATAATTCACATAAACTAAAGAAGCCTCTAAAAATAACAGAGATACCTTTATTCTGAAGAGTGTTTATATAGTGCATAGAATTTTCAGCGGAGTTTATTCCATGAAATCTCCTCTTTGTCAAGGATCCTAAAATAAAAGATTAATTTACAGTACATCGTCTGACACAGTTCAGTCTGACTTGAAACGTGAACCAATCCATTATGGTATCTTTTCTTTTTCGCTTTCGAGAAATACACGACGTTCAGGAGGACTTTTGTGAACGGAAGATACCACTCAGGAATGGTTGTCTGACGTACTAGGATAAGCTGCCGTCGAGGACAATGCTTTTTCGCATGTTTAGTAGAAACTGGTGAATCAGCAGGATGCAAATGTTTTAAATATTCGCCAGAGTGAACGACCCTATTAAAGGTTATCTTTTACCAGATTTAAACAAACTGGATATAAGAGAAACTAAACTGATGGAGGTTTTTCAGTTGCTCAAGTTTTAAGTGGGCCGCTAAGAATAAACTGTAACACCTCTTACAGCAAACACCCTTTGAACCTGGTCTGCTTTGTCTTTTCGATATGGCATGATACCCGAAATTTTTCAATTTTCTCCTTTACTCAGAAACTTTTCCGCATGTTCATTCTCAAATAAAACTTACTTTTACAATGGAGATCTCATTCTTCAGATCGTCGGTGTTGTTTGTAATTTTTCTAGCTCTGTTCAGGATATTTACAGTTACTAAAAGTTTTTCTACTTATAGGACGATCAGAGAAGGAATTCAAAAATTTCCCTGAATTTGTCGATTATTTCCAAACATCGAAAACTTTACTTTTCCATAAGTTTGTCTTTCGAGCAGACAATCCAGAAATTTCAGAGTTTCTGACACCTGATTCGATTTCATTGGTAAATTCTACATGGTATGAAATGGAGTTTATGCGTTTTAGAAATTTTCCTTTTTGTAACTTTCTTAACGCCTATACCATGCTCTTAGATGACGAATTAGACCAGTTAGTGCATTTTTTTCTAGAATTTTTAATATAAACATTAGCTAGAATTGGGGGTCCTGGTGACCCCGCTGCAACTTCATTTCTCTGACAGGATAGGTTTTCTCTTTGAAGTAAAATATGTCGATTTCAAACTAAGTTTTTAACATTTAGTGATGTGAATATTTGGGTAATATTCATTGATTGTTTTCAAGTTTACTTTCCATAATATTAAGTGAGTCAAATACAGGAATGCTATTAAAAGTCGGAAAGTCACAAACCAAATTCAGTTAGAGAACCACTGAAATTCAAGGAACGCTGGACAGGCGTTTGTTCCTTCCACGTTATCACACCTCAGATAGAAACGACGAGCTCCAGTGTACAAGGCGGATTTGCTGACGATACTACCACTATAATGGAATCCAGTGTCCCATCAGTCCTGCCTTCTACCAATTTTCAACACACAGATTATATACCAGACAAGGCTATTAGTGAGTATTTGTCTTCATACCCAACTTGACTGAGTCTCAGGTTACAACCTTCCCCCACTAGAACTCCAGGCAACACCCAGCAATCAGTCACTAGTGATCCCTTTAAAAATTTTAGAAGGTTGACTGACAGGGATTCAGCTGATCTTCGAGAACCACTAAAACCCAAGGAGTACGGACTCATCCGTTTTGTCCTTATTAGAGAATATTCACCGGCACTTACCCATGCTTCCTGATTTCGTGCTCAGATAACTCCAGGAAATTCGCAACACCGTCTATTGTCTAAATATTTACACTTTCAACCTTTATTTATTTTTAATTTAATCGAATTCAGTAGTTTGATCTGCCATTCTTTCTACTTTTTTCTCAACATGTCATAGCGATGTGTTTTAATTTTTACAAATATCTCAATGGTTTAATAGGTAATAATATATGTGTAAAATTTGGGCACTATGGTAGTAAGTATTTCCATATTAGTTTGTTTATGGGATATATCACAAATTGAGTGAAACAGTATTGTTTACTCGATGACGTTATGAACACAATTTATTACTGTTCGTAATCATATCACGAATTGCAGCCACACGACTTCGAAATTTGAGTTTTATGGTTTTCTTCCACTCTTTTATAT